TCTCTTTTAATTAGGTCTATTTTTACTTTTGCTTTATCTGAGATCATGATTGCTACTACAGCCTTTTTTGCTTCCGTTAAAGCATAAGAGATTCTGCTTCAGCCCTATACTTTAATTTTGTGTGTGTGTTTCTGTTTCAAATGTGTCTCCTGTAAACAATATGTTGTTAGATTTTGGTTTCTACTCTGTTCTGCTTTCTGCTTCCATTTTATGGGTGAGCTTATCCTATTCCCATTCACACCTATGATTACTGTTTATTTCCCTCCATCCTATTTTCTTCTGTTTGTCTTTCTCTTGCCCTCTCTCTTCTTTTACCTAGCACTCTCAAAAGTCTGTTTTGCTTCTAACCATTGCCTCCCTTAAGCCACCCTCCCTTTTATTATCCTTCCACCATATCTCTTATCCTCTTCCCCTCCTATCTCCCCATTGAGTCAGATAGATTTCTATACCCAACTGACTGTGTGTATGTGTGTGTGTATATATATGTATATATATATATATATATATATATATATATATATATATATATATATATATATATATATATATATTCTTTCCTCTTTGAACCAATTCCAATGAGAGTGAGGTTCAAGCATTGCCCACCCCCTCATTTTCCCCTCCACTGTAAAAACTCTTTCCTATGTGCCTCTTTTATGTGAGATAATTTTCCCCATTCTACCCTCCCCCATACTCCCAATGCATCCCTCTTTCTCACCCCTTCACTGGAGGGTGGGGGGAGATAATTCCAACATAATCAACTCACAGCCATACCCTCTGTCTGTGTAGATTCCCTCTAACTGCCCTAAAATGATAAAGTTCTTGGGAGTTATATGTATCATCTTCCCATACAGGAATGTCAATAGTTTAACTTCATTGAGTTCTTTACGATTACTCTTTCATGTTTACTTTTTTGTGCTCTTCTTGAGTTTTGTGTTTGAATGCTAAAATTTCTATTCAGCTCTGGTCTTTTCATTAATAATGCTTGAAAGTCCTTTAAAATATCAATTTTCTCACTTAAGGATTATACTCAATTGTGTGGGGTAGGTTACTTTTGGTTGTAATCCTAGCTCCTTTGCCTTCTGGAATATCATATTCCAAGCCCTTTACTCTTTTAACATGAAAACTGCTATATCTTGTGTGAACCTAACTGTGCTCCATAATACTTGAATTATTTCTTTCTGGATGCTTGATGTATTTTTTTCTTTGACCTGAGACCTCTGGAACTTGGCTATAATATTCCTAGGAATTTTCATTTTGGAGTCTCTTTCAGGAGGTGATTAGCGGATTCTTTTAATTTTTATTGCATCTTCTAGATCTAAGATAATAGGACAGTTTTCCTTGATAATTTCTTGAAATATAATGTCTAAGCTCTTTTTTATCATGGCTTTCATGTAGTCCAATAATTCTTAAGTTATTTCTCCTCAAACTATATCCCAGGTTAATTGTTTTCCAGTGAGATATTTCACATTTCCTTCTATTTTTCCTCCTCTTGACTTTGTTTTATTGTTTCTTGATGTCTCATGGATTAGCTTCCACTTGCCCAATTTTAATTTTTAAGGAATTATTTTCTTCAGAGAGCTTTTGTATCTCCTTTTCTATTTGACCCATTCTCCTTTTTGAGGAGTTCTTTTCTTCAGTGAATTTGTGTGTTTCTTTTACCATTAGGCCAATTCTGTTTTTTGTTATTTTTTGTGTCTGTTTTACCAAGCTGTTAGTTCTTTTTCATAATTTTCTCGTATCATTCTCATTCCATTTCCCAATTTTCTTCTACTACTCATCTCTTTCTTTAACACTTCCAGGAATTCCTGTTGGGATTAGTTTTTACATTGCTGTCTTCTGCATTTATGTCTTGGTTTTTCCTGCCACCATAATAGCTTTTTATGGTCAAGTTCTTTTTTTTGTTGTTGTTGTTGTTTGCTCATTTTCCCAGCCTATTTCTTGACTTTGAATGTTATGTCAAAGTTTGGTTCTGCTCACCTGTAGGTAAGGAGGTACACTGTCCCAAGCTTCAGACTTTTTTATGCTTCTGTTTTCAGAGCTAGTTCTGAGGTTCTGAAAGTTTTTGGTGCTTCCTAGGGGATGTAATCTGGAGACAGGTGTGGTCATTGCTGTCCTGGTCTTCACTTACCCAGGAAGTGATCTTGCTACCCTGCATCCACAAGCTCTACTGCTTCTCTCAGCTGTGGAATTGTGACTAGGTCCCCTGGTCCTTTGTGACTGACCACAAGCGCTCCTATCGATACTTGGAACAGCAACCCAGAACTGCTTATAGACAGTAGAATTGCCAATCAGCACCAGCTGAATCCAGTGCCCACAAAGGGCCCCCTGTAGCCTCTTTCTGAACATTTGGTCAACCCCATCACCATCTCTGGGATGAGAGCTCCCGAAGTTGCTGCTGCTGAAACAGCCACCTCCAAGGTCCATCGCTGGTGCTGCTGCCGCAGACTGGGCAGGCAACCACCCTGAAGGCATCATAGACTTCTCCTGAAGACTTCCAAGTTGTCTTAGGCTGGAAAAATGTCTCACTCTGACTTTTTGTTGGTTCTGCTGCTTCAACATCTAATTTGAGAATTATTTTTAAAGTTGATTGGAGGGGAGAGTTCAGCTGTATTGCTGCCTATACTCAGCCATCTTGGCTCCACCACCCTCTATGTGTCCTTTTTAACATTAAATAAATTTCTTTTTATTAAATGTTATTTGGCCCATGAGTATTTCACTGAATTACAGGTCCAAGCCTGGAACCTATGGACTGACCTAGTTAGGACTAGTCTAGAACATATCTCCAGAAAATTACATTTATCTCCTTCTTTCCACTCACACAGCTACCACCCTTCATCATCCCTTACCTAGACTTATAGCTCTTTTTTCTCCATTCTATCCTCCACATACCTACTAAAATTATTTTCCTAAGCTTAAGTCTGATCATATCACTTTCCTACTCAAAAACCTTAGTGGCTCCCTATTCCCTACAGAATAAAACACTGACTTCTTAGCTAACATCAAAAACACTCTACAATCTGGCTCTATCTACCTCTCCAGTCTACTTTCATATAACTCTCCTTTGTGTACTCTGTGGTCAAGCCAAACTGGACTAATGACCATTTTCCAAACCCAATACTCCATCTCTTCCACATGTCTTCACACAAATTCTTCCCTATTCCCAAGCCTACTCTCTTCATAATCTCTCTAAGAATCCCTATCTTCCTCAAGGCTCAGGTCAGGTACCACACCCTGATCTTCCCAGATATCAGTCCTCTCTCTTTACTAAGTTACTTTGTCTTTATTTACTTGTGTACATGCTGTATTCCTCCCCACTCTCAACCCCTAAATGTAATATCCATGGAGGTAAACCAGTTTTGTTTTGGGTTTTTTTTTTTTTGGCTTTGCAATCCCAGCAGCCTAGCACAGGTCCATGTGTTTAAATGTCCGTTGAACTAATGCATTGTTGGTGGAGTTGTGCACTGATCCAACCATTGTGGAGAGCAATTAGAAACTATACCCAAAGGGCTATAAAACTATGCATAACCTTTGATCCAGCAATACCACTACGAGATCTGTATCCCAAACAGATCATAAAAAAGGGAAAAGAATTCATGTGTACAAAAATATTTACAGCAGTTCTTTTTGCAGTGGCAAAGAATTGGAAATTGAGGGGATGCCCATCAATGGGGGAATGGCCGAATAAGTTGTGGTATACGAACATAATGGAATGCCATTATTCTATAAGAAATGATGAGCAGGCAGATTTCAGAAAAACCTGGAAAGACTTGTATGGACTGATGCTGAGTGAAGTGAGCAGAACCAGAGGAACATTGTACACAGTAACAGCAGCATTGTGTGATGACCAACTTTGATAGACTTAGATCTTCTCAGCAATGCAATGATCTAAGATAATTCCAAAAGACTCATGATAGAAAATTCTATGAATGCAGATCAAAGCACACTATTTTCTGTCTTTTTTTTTCTTTCTTGTGGTTTTTCCCTTTTGTTTTGATTCTTCTTTCACAATATGACTTATATGGAAATACATTTAATATGGTTGTACATGAATACGTATATCAGATTGCATGCCATCTTGGGGAGTGGGGAAAGGAAGGAGGGGGAAAATTTTAGAACTCACAATCTTACAAAAGTGAATGTTGAAAACTAAAAATAGATAAATAATTTTTTTTAAAAAAACAAATAAATGTTGAGTTGAATTGAACTGAACCTCTTCAAATTTAGCTAAGACAGTCCTTAGACAACAGCCAGTCTGCCATTTGTCACCTGCTAGTACCCAGAAAGTTTCCAGATTGATGGAACCCATCAGAGCATAACCTCTGCTAACATAGCCTTTAAGGACCCGTTTTCACCTCTATGCCACAATGAAGCATCAGAATAGGACTTCAGTGAAGATCTCCCTCCAACAGACAAAAAGAAAGATTTCTTTTCTCTCTGTCTAAAGGATTTCCTGCAGAATTGAGATGCCATCAGGCAACATTTATAAAATTTTACCAACATCAGCAATTTCCCCCAACAACATCTTTCTCTTTCATTTTTCCTTTCTCTGAATTTTGGTCATATAAAGAATTCCATTTTATCCTGGTAAAAAGCAACAGAAACAAGAAAAATACTTATTTATATCTAAGAGATTCAGCATCACTTAATATAAACAGTTTTTGGAATGTGGCTATGTAGAAATGTTTTGAATACATGAGAATGCTGTATACATACATATGGATTTGGTGGGTGGGGTGGAACAGTACAACAAATACCGGTTCTAGAGGCAAATGGACCAGGTTCAAATCCCTTCTTTGATGTTTACTACCTGTGTGACCTTGGGCAGGTCACTTAACCTGGGTCTCAGTTTCTTTATTTGCAAAATATGGAGGTTGAATTATATGGCTCTGACATCCCTTCTAGTTCTAGATCTGGGATCCTGTATCATGTATATAAAAAAACCAGTTGGAAGATACAGCTGAAATTTCTGATTTTTTTTTTCCTCTCTGCTTTCACTGAAGGCAATATTCATTCAGAAGCTAGTCTTCATATGAATACCTGTGAAACCTCATCCTTGACCCCAGAGCCAGCAGAGAAGGTATGATTATTGACACCGATTTTCAAGCTTAATAAAGAGCCATAAGGCTCCAGAAATGTGAGGACCATGGTACCACCCACCAATGCTAGGATGTATTATTAGCTTACCAGCCAGAGAGAGGAGTTGTGAAGAAGTTGTGGAATCTAGTTACCTAACTCTCCCACTAATTGGATGATAACCTCTTTACTTCTCCAGCCTTTGGTGTACTCATTTATAAAATGAAAGTGTAGTGTGAGCTAGAGCAGGGCTTCTTAACCCTATATCATAGGCTCCTGTAAAAGTCTGGTGAAGCCTATGACCCTGCTCAGAATAATGTTTTTAAATGCACAAAATAAAAAATACAAGATTAACAAAGAAATCAATTATATTGAGATAGTCATGAAAAAAAAAAAAAGCTTATTCAAGTTCTTAGACCCTAGGTTAAGAAACCCTGGAGGTTATCATTAAGGTCTCTTCTAGATCCAATAATTTCAGGGTTTTTTTCCAGTACACAAATAAGCTGAATAGACAGTTTTCCTACCTACCAAATGCAAGCAAGGTAAGTGTGAACAAGGACAGATAGAAAGGTAACTTCCATTAAAACACTGAGCATTTAACCACTCTAAGGTAAGACTTATTGGTCTTTTACAGACTAATTAGTCAGTGTACTTAAGCAGGAACAGAGAAATAAAAATAGAAAGTGAAGGAAAACCCCATAAAAGATGACCATGAGGAAAACAAAAGAGAGCTTATCTGGAAATTAGTTTCTATGCAAGGATATGTCTGGATTTTTTAAACCTTTTATGCTTTGGAATTGGTATTTTTTTTATCTTTTTAGTATTGTGGTTACCTCCCAATATAATAATGATAATAATCATCATAGCTAGCATTTATATAGAACGTAAACGTTTGGAAAGCACTTTACAAATATTACTTCATTTGATCCTCATAACAGCTCTGAAGGGGTAGGTACTGTTACTATCCCCATTTTGCAGATAAGGAAACTGAGTCTGAGGGAGGTTATCCAAGGTTAAGCTAAGTAAGTATATAAGGTTAAATTTGAATTCGGGTCTCCCAGACTCCAAGTCCACAGTTCTATCCACTGTACTACCTTTCCTTACAACAAAGAAGGGCAGATAAGCAAAATAAATGGACTTATTGGCCATATCTTGCCATACATACCTCATTCTGTACACATAGTCTACCACCAGTGTACTGAGAGGAAAAAAAAGTTATATGTCATAATCAGTCAGTGTAAAATAGGCCAGTGGATCTGGGTTCAAATCCTAGCTCTTCTATTTATTACCTGTGTGACAGGGTGTGGGTAACCTAACCTCTCTGAGCCTCAGTTTCCTTATCGGTAAAGTGAGAAGGTTAGACTAGATGACCTTTAAGGCTCCTTCCTAAATCTATGATCCCATTACCCTCTGGAGTAAGATTTGTCATTGTATATATCTGAGTTCTGAAGTCTCTTAGTGTTATTTTCCTTTACATTATCATGGTCACTGTGTATTTTATTCTCTTGATCTTGCTTACCTATACCTCTGCATCTGTACAAGTAAATCTTTTCAAGTTTTTCTGAGTTCTCCACATTCATAATATCTTTTAGTATAACACTCCATCACATTCACATAACACAATCTGCTCAGCCATTCTCCAATTGATGAGTACCTGCTTTGTTTCCTTTTTTTTTTTAAACTATAGCAAGAAGGACTGCCAAGCATATTTTCGGCATATAACAGACCTTTCCCTCTGTATTTGCCCTGCTTGGAACATATGCCCAGTAATGACATTACTTCATCCAAGAGTATGAACAGTAAAGTCACCTGTTTTGCATAGTTCCAAAATGTTTCATTTACTGCTCCACGGAGAATATGAGTGCCCATTTTCCCATGGCTTCAGAGCTATGCATTTACCAGTTTTTATAAACTTGTTCTGCTACTGAAAGCTATGTGGTTGCGATTATAGTCAAATGTTCCCAGTTCTCAAAGGCTAGGACAGCAGAATACAAGCTCTGGTCGGAGGAATTTCTAGAGCTGAGAAACCTGAAGAAAAGAACAAAGTGAAAAGCTGACATTCAGCTGCCCCTGACTGGGCTTTACTGCCATCCTGGATCACGCACCTCCTTAGTCCTTCCCCCCTTCTCTCCGATTTTCTTATCTCTCACTTTTTCCCCTTCTGCTTCTGAAAGTTTATTGTTGTTGCTGTTATCATTGTTTTTAAAAAGACATGTGTGATGGCTTTAAGGTCAAGGAAAGATGTCATCTATCACTTCAACTACCCCTTGATCTACAGGTCCTAGGGAGATTGCTGCTAGGATAAGACAAAGCAAAGTAGAAATTTTCAGATAAGGAAAGACATTATCATACGAACAATATTTTCATCTTTTAAAAATGCCTACCTTGAAGCTGTCCTTTATAAGTGAGTATCTAGAGACTCTTTGAAGGAGACTTTGTGACAAAGGGAAATATAAAATTAATATTTTTTTTGGTTATCAGAATCCAAATGCCTTATAGCACCTCAGAGACTATATCTAAAATCGTTCTAAATCCATCACAGACCACATAGATAACAAAAAGGCCACACTTGCATCAAGAGAGCTAATATCAACCCAAATAACATAATGTGACATTATATTAAAAGTATTATTTTTAACCATTTAAATATAATAGAGTGGAGAAACAGCCTGTTCTTTGGAACCAGGAAGGCTTGGATTCAAATCTTGAATCTGACAAATACTATCTGTGTAACCACGTCAAGTCACTTAACCCATGAGGAGAGGGGAAAGGATGGAAACAAGCAATTACTAAGTACCTACGACTGTGCTAAGTGCTTTACAAATTTATTATCTCATTTGATCCTCACAATAAAGGTAAGTATTATTATAGGTGGGGAAACTGAGGCAGACAGAGGCTAAAGGATTCTCCCAGAGTCACATGGCTAATAAGTGTCTGGGGCTAGACTTGAACTCAAGGCCCAGCACTCTATCCATCTCACCACCTAGCTGCCCAGGCACTACTCCCAAGGACTATAAATTATGAAAGAGTTGCCAAGCCGAATTTGCAGAGGAGTTTTGTAAACCAGCAGTTCCCTTGAACAATTAATTCATGTGCCCAGAAATATTTCAGCCAACATAGCATAACACTGTAAGTCAATAGCAGGGCTGAAAATGCACTCTTGATTTATATTCCCCTATCAAAAGGCTGGAAAAACCATTGTAGAATAATAGAAAGAGGACCAGCCTTGGAGTCGAGAAGACCTGGGTTCAAGTTCTCCTCTGACCAACTCCAACTGTGAGAACAAAAGCAATTCTCTCCATCTCTCATTGTTACAAACAACTCTAAGCCTACAGCTGCCAGGTGAATTGTCAGCCTATATTGGTGGAGGAAATTTCCACACCAGGAGTTCCCTCCATGAATGAAATCACAGGTCTAGGCCAAAAAAAGAAAAGTCAAAGAGCTACCCAAACACATGGATGAACTCCCCAGGCAAAAAGTAAACTCTCCCAGGGGAATTTTCAGGTCCACAGTGACCCAATATTAATAACAATCTGTAATTGGATAGAAATAAAAAGAGTAAGAAACATATGATATGAATGCATCCTTACTTTCAAGAGAATCCTGGAGGCTACCTTTGCATTTTAATTTATTGTTATTATTAACAGGATTATTCCCTGGAAAAGAGCTAAATTAGAGTTCTGTTCAATTTACAAGATTTGTTGAGTACCTACTGCATGCCAGGCATAGTAGGAAAAGCAAGACTCTCCTCTAAGACAGGAACAAGATGAAAAACAAGCAACCATGATAGAAGCAGCAAGCCAAATGTGTTAGGTCACTGTGTTATATTAGTCCACAGAGGGGGTTTTGCTTATCCAAGTCTAATAGAATGCCAGTCTGGAGTTTCTCCTGGTGTCCCTGCGGTGACCCAATGAGTAATCACAAGAACTTAGACCTAGACCTGGAAATGATGCATCAGAGGCTGTTAAATGTATCTCCCTCATTTTACAGATGGAGAAACTGAGGCCTGAGTAACTTACCTCAAGTCTCACAGGTCATAAGTGGCAGAATCCAGGCGCTCTCATTTCAGATCCAGCACATTTTCCTTTGTACTATGCTGTCTCCCACCATCTTGGCAACATCAGACAGTAGAAAGAACCTTCAATTTTGAGTCAGAGAACCAGAGTATGGATCCTGCCTCTGTCACTAATCGGTGACCTTGGGCAAATTAATTGTGCCTAACCTCATCTACAAAGTGAAAATGTTGCACTATATACCCTTCCACCATAAATATACAATCGTATGATCTTGGCCATGTAGCCACAGAGATACTTTTTTCAAAGCTTTGAATTTTCTCTTTACCTTCTAAGGCTCAAGTAGAAGGTCCATGAATATGACTTGATTCTGCAGGGTAGCCTACATCTTGGAGGATTTCACAGGCATTTTTTAGTATTTTAATATTTACTGAGGGAATCCCTTCTGAAGAAAAACCTCTGTAACAATTGCCATCTCCTTATGAGGAAAGGTCTGATGACTGAAGCAGCCAGTCACTAGCCATGTTGATAACTGAATTATCAAAGACCTTTCTAACATATCTCTTCTGGCTACCAAATCCCCAGTTAAATTTCATCAGATTTAGAACTGGAAGAGACTGCAGAGACCAGCTGGTCTGACCCCTTCATTTTTTTTAAATGGGGAAACTAAGACCAGAAATATTAAGAGACTTACCCACATCATCCAAGGTAAGTAAATGGCAGACTCGAGGTTCAAACTCAGGTCTTTTGACTCCAATTCCAGCTTTCTTTCCCCTCTACCTTAATACAGTCCCAGCAATCCATTTTAACTACTTTCTTATCCTTACTTGATATAAATGGTAATTTAATGTTTACCATGTAAAGCATCTGGGATCAATTTGGGGGTTAGGCTTCATGCTTAGCAGACTTTAGTTTACAGTACCCTGATATGACACTGGTAGATAGTCAGGGAGATGCCTCCAATCTCTGTCTGGTGAATCTCACTGACATG